TTCAGTGAAATTGAAAGGGAAGCAATACTCCCAATATCATTCCTGGAAGCAAGCATCACCTTGATCCCCAAGCAGAGAAAGACCCCACCAAAAAGAACTATAGGCCAATCTTACTAATGAACACAGATGCAAAAATCCTTAATAAGATACTGGCAAATAGACTACAGAAGATCATCAAGAAGATCATACACGCTGACCAAATCAGATTTATCCCAGGGATATGGGGATGGTTCAACATATGCAAATCAATAAATGTGATATACAATATTAATAGAGCCAAGGATAAAAACTATATGATCATCTCAATAGATGCATTCGACAAAATCCAACATGCACTCATGATAAAAACCCTATAAAAAATTGGAATAGATGATCTTTACCTCAATCTGATAAAAGCCATCTATAAAAAACAACCAACAAAGGGAGGGCAGGGACAAGGGGAAAAAATGAGAATCAAGACCTATCATGTAAAGGTACAGGATCCCAATAATGAATGTAACTGTATTGTATACCTAGATTGTACCAATAAACTCAATTAAAAAAAAATCAGCCAATACCATACTAAATGGTCAAAAACTGAAAAACTTCATGCTAAAGTCAGGAACAATACAAGGAAGTCCACAATCACCACCCCTGTTCAATATAGTTTTGGAAACTGCCACAGCAATTAGACAAGAGACGGAAATAAAAGGGATAAAGATAGGAAAAGAAGAAGTCACATGTCACTATTTGCAGATAACATGATACTCTACATAGAAGACCCCAAGAACTCCACCAGAAGTCTTCTAGACTTAATAACTAAATTCAGTAAAGTAACTGGATACAAGGTTAATGCATAGCAATTGATCACTTTTCTGTATATGGAAAACAGATTCACTGAGAGAGAAATGAGGCAATCAATTGCTTTCTTAACAGCATTCAAAAAATTGAAAATACCTAGGAATCAACCTCATAAAAGGAATCAAAGACATCTACTATGAAAACCACAGCACTCTGAAAAAAAAGATAATTGATGAGGATATCAGAAAGTGAAAAATCATCCCTTCCTCCTGGGTAGGGAGAATCAGCATAGGGAAAATGGCCATACTTCCAAAAATACTATATAGATTCAATGCAATCCCAATTGAAGTCCTAGCAGCATACTTTGCAGACCTTAAGAAAATAATCCAAAAATTAATTTTGAACAAGAAGAGACCTAAATAGCAAAAGCAGTTCTAGGCAACAAAGAGAAGTTGGGGGTATCACAATCCCCAACTTGAAACTATACTATGAAGCTACTGTGATAAAAACAGCATGGTACTGGCTAAGAAACAGACATGAGGACCAGTGGAACAGATTAGAAGATGCAGAGATAACTCCAGACGCACTCAGCCACCTCATCTTTGATAAAGGAGCCAAACACCCTCACTGGAGGAAAGATAGCCTCTTTAATAAATGGTGCTGGAAAAACTGGGTTTCCAACTTGCCAAAGACTAAGACTAGACCTATATCTCTCACCATGTACTAAATTTAAATCAAAATGGATTAAAGATCTAAATATTAAAAAAGAAACAGGTTAGGTAGAACTCTTGAAGACACTGATGTAGGAGAAGATTTTATGAACAAAACTTCTGTAGTCTGTGAGCTAGCACAATCAACAAGTTGAATGTCTTCTTATTAAAAAACTTCTGCACAGCAAGAGAAACAACCTACAGTGTGAAAAGACAACCCACAATGTGGAAAAAATCTCCACCAGCTGTTCCTCAGACAAAGGTCTACTATCCAGAATAAATAAAGAACTTTAAAAAAAATATGACCCCCCTCAAATTTAAAGACCCAATCCAAAAATAGCCAACTGAAATCAACAGACACTTTTCAGACGAAGTAGAAATAGCAAATAAACATATGAAAAAATGTTCAACATCACTGGTCATTTGAGAGATGCAGATGAAAACAATTCTGAGATTCCACCTCACCCCAAAATGAATGGCTGCTATCATAAAATCAAACAATTACAAACGCTGGCAGGGCTGTGAGGAAAGAAGAACCCTGCTCCACTACTGGTGAGAGTGTTGACTGGGGCGACCACTGTGGAAATCAGTATGGAGATACCTTCAAGAACTAGGATTGGAAGTCCCATTTGATCCAGCTATTCCCCTACTGGGTATCTTCCCCAAAGAATTGAAAGAATAGTACCATAGTGAAATATGTGCACCCATGTTCATAGCAGCACAATTTGTTATAGCTAAAACTTGGAAGCAGCCCAATTGCCTATCAATCAGTGAGAGACTGGATAAAGAAAATGTGTGTGTTTTATTTTTTAATAAAGTGGAGTACTACTAAGATATAAAAAATGAGAAATTGGAGACATGTAAAGCTAAATGGATGCACATTGAAGCCGTACTCTTAAGTGATATAGGACACGCATGTATATATTAAATAGTTTCTCTAGTGTGAGAAATTGAAAGTGTAAGTAAGGAGTAAAAGGTATAATAGACAATGTGAAATAAGAAGAAAAGGGACAAAGAGGAAGGGGAAATGGATGGGGTAAGAGCAAGGAAAGAAGGGAATGAAATTAATACCAGAAAATGAAGAAATGAAAACAAAGCCTTTGCAGATAGGGAGGGTGGAGGGGTTGAAGTGAAGGCAGGGGAATGGGGAAGAAATTAGAACCAAGATGGATTATGTAAAGGAACAAATTTCCAACAATGAATGTCATTATTATTAACACACCAATAAAATGAATTAAAAAAAGAACAATCACGTAGATATGCAAAGCAACTGAAAACAACGACAAAGCAGTTATGAAAACAAACCTGGAAATATAGTTACTTGCACATACGAGTCCCTCCCCAAGTGCCCTTCATAGCCTGTCTGCCATGGCATGCATTCTGAGTCTCCCATCTTTTGAAGTGTTCAGTACATATGAAATTGCATCCCAAGATACACAACTTAAAAGTTTCCAAATGATATTCAACCTCTATTTTTAAAAACTAGAAATATGAAAGAAATTAACTGCAAACTATTTTCACCAATAAAATTGAAAAATACTCTCAAATTTTGTAAGGGCATTGACAGGGCATGGAAGTAGAGATTCTCAAAAGCGCTTAGGATATATTAGAATTATAACTGAACATATCTCTTAACTCTGTATCTCTTTATATAAATTTCTCCTAAGAAAAAAAATATCACATAGTGTACAGAGATGTATGGTCAAATATTTTATGTAATGTCAGACAACTGGAAGCCAGCTAAATGACCATCAATAGTCAACTTCATAACTCATAAAAGACTGTATCATAAAATTTATTCAGCCATTTTCTATCTTTTATCATGAAAAGGTATATTAAGTGAAATAGAGGGCCCCAGAAGACTATCCTATAAAACCACATAAAAAATGATGAACAATGTTTGAGTCATGAGTATATTTAGATTGTATAATTTAAGGTGATTTTACTTCCTTACATTTCTTAAGGAGTTTATTACTAATATTATTTAAAATTATGTACTTTACAATATGAAGAAACAATAAATCTACTTTCATTTTGGAGAACAAGTCTTCCCTAATCATTGAGAATTCTGTAAAAGAAGTTGTAGCAGGCTGGCACCAAACAAGAGCTTGGGAAAATGACTCCCAAAGTCCTGAAGGCAACTGATTCACTGATTTTTTTTTTTTTATAGGACAGATTCTGGGTGCAACCCTCTCACAAAGTGGTTTTTGGAAAAAGATGACAGGAAGAATGATCTCACTTTCCCCTGAACCTAGATACATCATTTTAGTCTTCTTTCTTTGATGAATGGTGAGCTTCCTAAGGCCTGGGAAAGTGTCTTGCTAACTTACCCTTCTCAAAATCCCAGCCTAGAAACAAAGTAAGCCACCAATGTGTAGATTGGGACTAAAACTGCTATATGTTGTTTGCTTCTGAGCTATTAAAAATGGCTTTGGAGATGTATTAGCTTTCTATTACTATAATAAAAAACCTAAGACAATCAACTTATAAAGAGAAAAGGGTTAATTTTGGCTTGATCACAGTCTTGGAGATTGCAGTACATGATCAGCTGGCCATTTTATATGGCAGCATATGGTGGAGGTGGAGGAGCCACATATCTCACAGGTAGGATTCAGAACAGAGGAAGAAGACAATGGCTCCTGTTCTCTCCTTCAAGGGCCTATCCCAGGGATCAGAAGACCCCGAGGTAATCCTCATCTCTTAAAGTTTTCACCACCTCCAAGTTATGCCAACCTGGGACAAAGTCTTTAACACTGGGTCTTGGAGGGATGTTTCAGATCTAAATGACAGCAGTGGAAGTCTCTGATCAAAATGTTCCCACTGGATTGTGCTTATATGCTATAGAGGTGCCATTTGCAGATGTCCTATCATCTGAATTTATTTCTGCTAATGTGATGCTTCTTGATTTCTTGCCTTTCCACCAGCAGCATAAGAACTTAATTATACTGTCATGAGCTAAGACTGAACTTTATTTTATATTGCACTTATGTTCCATGACACTGTGATGTGCAGACTCACAGTCACTGCATACACCTATAACAGGTAATCTCAGAGTGATTTGTCTTTCTGATATCCTGCCTCCGTGGTCACTTTTGCATTCAAGCACCTGGAGGGGAGCAGAGATGCAGCCATTATCTCTGCAGATAAAATGCTCTGCTCAGTGGTGGCCATTTATTGTTTCCTTCTGTCAGCAGCAGGAACAAATACACATGGATCACAGTTCAGGGTAAAATTTCTCTTTGATATGACACACACATTAGTACAGAAGTAATATTTGGATGAACTACTTCCTCAGATTTATAGAAGTGATGGGACATAACTGTTCCTCACCAGCTATTGAATCATTTCTTCTCAGCGACAAGGCTAGTGACTCTCACGCATTGGCAACTGTTATACTGACTGAAAGGATCACTGATATCATGGTCAGTAATAGTGACAACCATGACACAGGCATTCCTTTATGCTGAACCTTAAGGTACATAACCTTTTAATTCTGGGTTGTTCTTTTACCTTGGCCAGGTGAGAATTGATCCACTTTGTGAAAGTTCGTTTTTGTACAATCTCTTGTTCATCTAGAAAGAAAACACATAGATAACACAATGTGTTATGAAGGTATATCATGAAAAAACAGTTGTATAACTAGAAATAATCATAAAGTTATTTTATCTTCTAAATCATTTTATCAATCATTGTCTTGAAGGAGCAAGAAAACTTTCAATATATAACCAACTAGACTAATTCTTTTAAATTTATCAGCAAATACTTTGCAATTTATGAGATGTTAGCCCATGCTTACCTTCATTCAGTTATTGAAAGTTCACTCATGAATTATCTCTTAATGAAGTTATTAAGAAGAAACTTTATGGAGACCAACTAAGTGTCAAGGTTTATGTCAGATGCAAAAGGGTACAGAGAGACAAGCAGGACGATGTCTGTGCCGTGAAAGATGGAAAGATGGATAAGCGAGGGCCTCTGTCTTGTGGAGTTGGGCAGTAATGCAGTAAGAAAGAGCTGCATCAAGGAGCCATTACAGGAACCTATACACAACGGGGAATGAGGGGACTGCCCCATATCTCCACCTCCCAGCGTCCACGCTTTCATGTAGGCAGACAGTGGGCAGTTTGCTTCTTATTTATAGAATGTGCCTGAGGGACTAGGATGTCAAGCCATGATCACATTATTTTACGTACTTGAGCTGTTCTCCTGCTGGCCTCGAAGCACCAAGCAGGTATGGAGCTATGCTGTGTCATATTAATTAGCTATGCTGTAAAGCTAGTAAGGAGGGTTCATGCTGGGAACCTTGAGCCCTTTTAGGAATGGGACCTCCTGCCATGTCCAGTAAGAGGTGGGGCCCTAGTCTTACAGCCATAGGGAATGAATTCTGTGGACAGTGAACAAGGTCAAAAGCAGATCTTCCCTAGCAGAGCCTGGGGATGAGACGAAAGCCTGCTAGACCCCAGAAAGGTGTGGCTACACTGTGCACGGACTCCAAACCCACCAAAATGTGGAGACAAATGGGCGGTCTTAAACTGCTCAGACTGTGGTGATTTGTTACACAGCAAGAGAAGACTAACTTAGAAGGAAAATAATAGAGCCCAGGAAGACTTAACTAGAGGTTTAAAGAGATGAAGGTCAAGGAGCGATACCATGCAACACCTTAGAAAAAAGGGGTGAAATCTGTTCACTGTCTGACATCTACCTAGCTGTCAGCTATTTGTTAAACACTCAGATCTTGTGGGAGGTGGAGATGAAGAAGACACAATCCCAATTCCTCTCTCTTTGAGGAAGGATGCTCAAGTCCACATTTCTAGATCTGACCTTGCCCAGGCTTCATCTCAGGGGGTCTGAGTGTTTGCTCAAATGTGAATTTCACCAATGTGACAAACAGGCATGAACAAAATGAATGAATAAAATCAATAACAAGATCTTTTAATTTGAGAAAATTGTGGATATAGCCATAAAATTTGTCGAATGTCATTATTTCTAATATATTTTCAAAGTGCATTCTTGTTTTAACAAAATGCGTATTAAAATGCATAATAAAAACAAACTGGTTTATAATAGGCAATGTTTCCTGTTTACCAGGTCTTAATACCTACATATGTTTGTATGTGTGTGCACATGCGGGTTACATTATAGTTTAAGTATTTAAATTAATTATATATGTAACCACTATTGTAGATATTATGTGAATTAACTCAGTTTTTATAACAAACACATATTAGGAACTATTACAGTTTCAATTTTGGATATAAAAGCACATTGAATGAGACATATTGAATTTCTATATTTTTGCCAAGATCACCCAGGCACAGTCATGTTTTAGACTCTAGAAGTCTGATACCATAACAGCTACTCAAGTATAACATAAAATTGGTGTATTAGACTTATCAAATATTAATTACATGGAAATGGCAAGCCCATGGTTAAATAAATTTGGCTTTGACCAGGGATACTTCAGATTGTATAACCAGAGTCATATTACAGCAAAAATAACATTGGCTAATCAAACTGAGTTTATGGAATTCAGAGGTTTATACTACATTAACTGAAATTCTAAATCTAAAAAGACAATAGATACTGTTACAGAGTGTGTGCAAATACTGATACAATTTGAGATTAGAACCTTCTATAAACCAAGATGTCATTTTTGGAAATGTAAATGTAAATTAAGTGTGTGCAGGATGTTATAAATTTAAGAATAACTAGCAATGCTGTATTACCTCCTGATTTTACATTGCTTTGTTTTCTGCTACCACCTTCCATTAGAAAGTGCTGCACTGTAATGGTTTCACCTGATGGCAAGTCTCTGAGTTTATATTTAGAGTTCACCAAAAAGTCCTTCTCTAGAAAGCTCAGATTATCTTTTTGGTGGCATTGTATATATCTAAATGTCAAATGCTCTTCATACCTCCTTTTATCTTGTATGGAAAAACAGATTTCACTGGTCTGTAAAAATCTACCTCTAATATTTATCAGATACAGCCAGTTGAGTTCTAATTAAACATTTTCTAATTTTACTATTTTCCTAAATGAAAAATAATTCTAAAACTTAATTATGTCAGACAATTCTTATTTTTGACATAAAATCAGAAGAATATACTTGATGATTTGGTAATTGAATCTGATTCCAAAAGCAAAAATAATTTAAATTGTAGAAGTACTATAGACATGCATGAATGTCTACCAACTTTCACTCTAAAAAGTTATGATCAACAATGATTCCTTATAATGTTGTTGACAACCAAACTAACTCCTATGTTATGGGTTTTTCAGGTTTTCCTTTTATATACCTCATTATAAAATGATACATGTGAATATGAAATGAATATTTCATAGTACTTATGCATTTTAAATATATTTAATTAGTAATAATCTACTTGCTGATTTTCCTGTCTTCAGCATTTCAAAACAACTTTTTAATGTGGTCTTTCACATGTTAATCCCTACACCTGCCGTTATTTTACTAAAGACAGTAACTTACACATTTTGCTGAAAATGTATTTTAGTTATGGACAGAGGAAAATTTATCTTATCCCACCAGTAAATTCAGTCCTCTAGTTCTAAAGATCACAGAGAACAAAGAACTGATCTGTGACTGGTTTTATTCGCTAATCTGATCTGTACCAACATCAGTCCAGCTCAAGCCATCACCTGGATGCCTCTTCACTCCCACCTCCACGTTGTCTGACTTTTTTCCCCACATTCTTATCTATTACTTCCCAGTAGATATTTAAGAAATAAATGAAAGAGGTTTCATTTTACTCAGTGGTGGAGTACCTGCTTGTCTTATGAGAGATCCTGGGATTAATCCCCAGCGTCTTCTCCACCCTCACAAAAGAGGAAAGAAATGGATGGATAGATTTGCTAATGAAGTACTGGGACAGAGACAGAGCCTCTGCTTGGGAGGAACTAGCAGTACCATGAAAGGAATAGACATCTGTACAATAACTCAAAGCAGGGTGTCCCTGACATTGGTGGAACACAAAGATGTCTAGGGAACATAAATACAGGAGCAAGTAACTCTTCTACAGAGTAATGAGGTGGGCTGGAAGTTCCAGAGAAGCTAAAGGTAGGAGGTATGATTGAATCAAACATCACATGATATCAGGAAATGTCCAGGTGGAGAAAAATGCATAAAATGGCTCAAGAAGCTATCAGAAGTAGAATAAAAAACCAGTAAAGGTACAGGCACCAGGGATGCTTTGCAGATATCTGTTGGAGAAGGAAGATTATCAGATTCTAGATAGGATTGCAGCAACAAGGCAGAGGAGAGGTGGAGCCAGAGAAGGAAGTGGGTGCTCCCCAGATACAAAGTTATAATAGATTAACTAAAACCAGTTTGGGGTAAGGATATTCCTGGTTAGAGGTGAATCAAATCCCCCTTTCTCTCTCTTATAACTTGAGTTGTGATTTATTTTTAAAGACCAGACTATGCAAAATTAACAATATGCTTATGGCAGTAACTCTCTGGGCCCTTCTTTCCTGGTCTTCCCTTTTTGGTCCTCTTTGAAAAGAATTTGGTTATATAAACTTCACAAGCTGGAGGCTACTGTGATCATACAAGCACATAGCCCTGAAAAATGTTGGTAGAGGAAATGACTCCAAAATCCAAGGCAATATCTTTCTGTAGTGAAAAATAAAAGGAATTGGCTCAGTGCTTAATTTCTATATTTCTTGGAACGCTTTTAGATATTTCTTCAGTATTTTCCCATTTCAAGACAAGATTGTGTTACATGCAAAATGCACAAATGAGGCTCACCATAGCAGGAGTGATAACATGTGACCACACTCAACTAAAGTCAACAGTTCTTCTCCTGATGTGTCATACCAGTAGGGACTGCACATGTTACACACTGTGTTTTACCCTAACAACCTACGCATTCCCCTGGCACAGAGAGGTCAAAATAAAAGATGGGGATGGGACACTGCAAAGCCTTTGCCATCGATCACAAACATGCACTGTCTAAACACAGGTAAATGACCTTTTGTATTAGTCACAATACCAAATACCTACAAGTTAGAGAGATTTAAGAATCTCCCAGTTTCCGTTCAAGATCTGCTGGCTCCCAGACAAAGAAACATGACAGAAGGATTTGGTGAAGCAAAGCTGCTTGGTTCATGGTGGCAGGGAAGCAGGGCAGGGGGAGGAGTGACAGAGTAAAAGGGGGAAAGGACCAGATGTAGGCCCCAAGACCACAGCTCCATGAGCCACCCAGACACACCAAGAAGAACTGTGTTTCAGCAACTCCCAGAGTAGATCCCAGGTCCCAAAGCTGATCGCGTTGAAACTCCACCATAACTGCCACGCCTGTCAATTCTGCTTCGCAGTGAATTGTCCACATGCAGTATGTTACATAAAACTGTACCGTAGAGTTCTATTCTCACTAGCTCATGAATAGTGTTATTAAATTTAAAATATTAAAATATGTGCCAATGTACTTTTATTAGATGACATTTTAAAATGTTAATAGTAATTGAAATTAGTTTATATTGAAGAAATTCTTCTATAAGAATTTATTTTTGTCTCTGCTTTTGAGACATGTCACCCTTATACATGAGTATGTATATA